CCACTGGCTGGGGGCATCCTTGGGTTTGTAGGTCTTGGGGGGGTTCCTGGGCTGGGGGTATCCCTGGGCTGGGAGTCCCTGGGGTAGGGGTGGCCCCATGGGGGTCTCTGAGCTGCCCGGCCGCACAGGTCAGCAAGACAGGGGCTGAGGGGGCTGTGCTGGATGAGGCCAAGAACATCAACAAGTCGCTGTCGGCACTGGGCAACGTCATCTCGGCCCTGGCCGAGGGCACGGTGAGAGCCTGCGTGTGTCCCCCCCGCCGCCCCCAACCCGTCTGCTCTGCCCCGGGGACCCCGGGGCTGGGGGGAACCCTGCTGAGCCCCTGTGCCCCCCCGCAGAAGGCCTACGTGCCCTACCGGGACAGCAAGATGACGCGGATCCTGCAGGACTCGCTGGGGGGGAACTGCCGCACCACCATGTTCATCTGCTGCTCCCCCTCCAGCTACAATGACGCCGAGACCAAGTCCACCCTCATGTTCGGGCAGAGGTAGGGGAGGGGGCTGGGGGTGTCGGGGTGCCCCTGCACCCCTCTGCACCCCTCAGCTGCCCCCCAACTGCACCCCATGCACCCATTGCATCCCAACTGCACCTCAACAGCACCCGTTGCACCTGTTGCGCCCCAACTGTGCCCCAGCTGCGCCCAATGCACCCATTGTGTCCCAACTGCATCTCAACTGCACCCTAACTGCACCCCATGCACCCATTGCACCCCAATTTCACCCCAACTGCACTCCGTGCACCCGTTGCACCCCAACTGCACCCCAACAGCACCCCATGTACCCATTGCACCCCAGCTTCACCCCATGCACCCGTTGCACCCCAACAGCACCCATTGCACCCCAACTTCACCTCATGCACCCGTTGCACCCCAGCTGCACCCCATGTACCCATTGCAGCCCAACTGCACCCCAACAGCACTCCATGCACCTGTTGTACCCCAAGTGCACCCCATGGCCTCATTGCACCCCAACTGTACCCCACACACCCCTTGCACTTCAAGTGCACCCCAAGCATCCGTTGCACCCCAACTGCACTCTATCAGCACCCCATGCACTCTAACTGCACCCCTCACACCTGTTGCATCCCAACTGCACCCCAACAGCACCCACTGCACCCCAGCTGTACCCCCTGCACCCCTCCAGGGGGAAAGGGGGCTGCACTGGGGGTCCCCAGACCTGGGAGGGGAGTCAGGGGAAGGTGGACCCTCAGATGGGGGTCGCTGTGGTGGGCACCTCAGGGGGGTCCCTGGGGGATGCTGCCTGGAAAGGGGGAGCAGGGGGGGTCCCGGTTGAGGGGTCCCCCCCTCCATCCAGGGCCAAGACCATCAAGAACACGGCGTCGGTGAACCTGGAGCTGACAGCCGAGCAGTGGAACAAGAAGTATGAGAAGGAGAAGGAGAAGAACAAGGCGCTGAAGGAGACCATCGGGAAGCTGGAGGCCGAGCTGAGCCGCTGGCGGAGTGGTGAGGGGGGACCCCGGCATCCAGGAGGGGACCCCATCCCCCCCCGCCCCCCACCAAGTGCCGGATGGGGAAACTGAGGCTGTGTCCCCAGGGGAGGCCGTGCCCGTGGAAGAAGAAGTATGAGAAGGAGAAGGAGAAGAACAAGGCGCTGAAGGAGACCATCGGGAAGCTGGAGGCCGAGCTGAGCCGCTGGCGGAGTGGTGAGGGGGGACCCCGGCATCCAGGAGGGGACCCCATCCCCCCCCGCCCCCCACCAAGTGCCGGATGGGGAAACTGAGGCTGTGTCCCCAGGGGAGGCCGTGCCCGAGACAGAGCAGCTGAGCGGGCCTGAGGCGGAGGCCGGGACAGGCGAAGGAACAGGTGAGGGGACAGGGACAGGATCCGTTGGCGAGACACCCCTCAATGACAACAGCTCCTCCATCGTCATCCACATCTCCGACGAGGAGCGCCGCAAGTACGAGGAGGAGATCCGCAAGCTCTACAAGCAGCTGGATGACAAGGTGACCCCCCCCAGGCCCATCCCATCCC